GATGGCAGATAACTGAAGAAAGGAGACATGAAAAGGCTCTGATTTGATGTTTTGTTTCTTACTTTGATGCTGTGATATGTGATGCTGGCTGTGTATATGTGATGTGCCCACTGAATCAAAACCATTTGTACAATGATTGAGGCAAAATTTTAAATTGTAGGAATCTTGTTTTTTTTGGCCCGCCTTGTTTTATTTCGACCGCTCGCATACGATTTGGAATCTGGAGGATGTCATCCATAAAATTTACTTGCTGTGGCCTAATGAAATTAAACTGTTCTCCAACTAAAAAAAATTGACTCGCCGGATTTTCGACCGAAGCGCTCGGCCTTTGTCAGCTTTCCCTCCCAGGTGCTTTAGACGTGATTTTTCCACGTATAACGTCATCACTGTTTGTCGGAAGTCGGTACCGCCCCCCGTTCCTTTTGATAGAATTCATCTAGTTTACCATAGCTGAAAAGGTGGGCTCTACACATGTCTTTTATGTCATTATTTTATTTTGATGTGTCAAGTTGGCAGGAGTGGGTTGGTGGGAGCACTTGGACAGTAACCTGTCGTGGGTAGCTTGGCACATCCTTTTTCTGTCCCCTTTTCTTTGCCTTTGTCTCAGTAACGTCGAAAAGTTAAACAAAAATAATTAAGAAACCTCTTGTCTCTCTTGTCTAATTTTCCTTCTTTTTTGATTTTGTTATACCCCCCCCCAAAAAAAGGCCTCTACACATGTATGACACACAACGACACACAAAACATTTTGCAAGAAATGATAGAACACATCACCATAGATTACACAATTTAGAAGTTGCCAGGAAGTCCTAGATTCTTATTATTTGCCTGATAGACCTAACTACCTACGAAATTTCGTAGTAATCCATCCAAAGTCGTTTAAGTTACGAACGCTACCTTCATTACTGTTTCCCAAATGTGGCGCCATGTGTCAATTCCTGTATTTCGGTTCGTTTTGCCTGACTTTCGGCAGTGATTCGGAATAGGTGTCAAGCGGCCTTTTATCCCTTAGGCCACAGCAAGTAATTTTCATGGATGACATCAGTGCTCGCCTGATTTTGGAAAAAAACAACAAGAAATTTTGTTGCCTTCTGACAGTGGTAACATGCCGAAAATGGGCAAAGATGTCTGTTGTCTGCCGGAAAATGGATGGCAGATAAATATGAAGACAGGAAAAAAAACAGACACAAGGCTCCGATTTAATGTTTTGATTCTTAGTTTGATGCAGTGATATGCTGGCTGTATATATGTGATGTTCCTAGTGAATAACAATAATTTGTACAATGATTGAGTCAAAATTATAAAATGAAGGAACCTTTTTCTTTCGGTCCGCCTTGTTTTTTTTCGCCCGCTCGCATTATTAGAATTGGAGTCTGCGAAGGATGTCATCCATAAAATTTACACGCTGTGGCCTCAATAGGAGAAGGTTATAAAACAGGCTACCATCCCCAGATGACGTCAGCGATCGCTTCAAATGTACAGATACATTTATGTTAACATACTTATGAAGGACTTGTAGGGTTACGAATGTCTAATCTAGCCAAGAATATACATCTAGGGGGGTTTCATTACATGTAGATTAGTTGAAACATGTGCAATATCAACTTAATTGCTCGAAAATCGTCTATGGTACAATGTCTAGCAGCAAATCTACAAGACTAAAACAAACTAGAAAAGTAACATTTGCAAAGCAAATGCATAATGTTTACCTTCGGATATGGTCTGCTCTGTTAATTCTTACTCAAACACATTCACATACATGTATATGATGACAGGAGTCTAAATGTCTACTATGAAATTGCAACATTATGTAACCCAACACCAGTTACTATGGTGACAGACGTCAACAAAAGAGGCCATTAGCCAGGTCAGAGGTTAGTGTTTGGAACAGAAGAAGAAGAAGAAGAAATTGAGCAAAAACAATATGTTTTCCTTCGGTAAACATAACTAGAACGGCAGACATATGCTCGGGAGCAAATATAATATTTCAGTCAATGTCTCTCCTCACCATACTATGTATGGACTGAAATGAATATGATTGATAACAGTGTATGAATTACATTTTGTTGTGATGTCCTTTTCGATTTCATGACAATGCACACTTGTCTAGTGTTAACGTTTAGTTTTGTTAAGCTAATTTCAAATGGTTTATTATGAACTGGTGTGAGATATTGTTCCATGCCAAATTGTTTTTAATTCTAAAATATCTGTGGAGTATTAGGATTATATATGTCAAACTTGTTTGCTGTATTTCTGCAAATATCTATATTTTAGATGAAAGGCACAGAACATACACATAACATGAGTAACAAATATATATGTTCACTGTAATTGGCTCATTAACTCAATTTTCTACCATAAATATACCCACTCCTTACCCAGTAACTTTGTTATACAACATGCATGGCTCTTAGTACATAGTCATTTATACACAAGAAATAGAACAAAGGGGACAAATTCAACTTACATTCAAAATATTCTGCAGCCTACGAGGGTCTTCCTTTGGTATCTCGTGTACCGGAAAAACGTTCAATGCATGGGTCAAAGGAGGGGTTTCAAAGAGAATAATCTATCGTTACTAAAATGGTTTGTACAATGTAACAGCACTGCACGCAAATGTGCACTTTGGTATTAGCGTGACGACCGTGCTAGCATTGACTTTTCTGTCAAGCAAATCAATCCAATTAAGAATGAAGGAGAACGTGTGTTCAATACCGGTGTTTTACTCTTGGGCGCGGCAATGACCGCTGGGACAGACACGCTCTCCTGAAGTGTCTGTTTCAGATTCATCATCCAGGTCTGTCAATGAATCTTCCAGGGCTCTTCTCTTCTGAGGAAGCGGTATGCGGCGTCCTCCTGCCCCGCACGATGTTCCTACTGTGCGGTGCCTCTCCTGGCTAGTACGGCCGGATATTAGGCCACAGCAAGTAATTTTTATGGATGACACAAGCAAGCGCATTAATTTTTTCCTGATTTTGGAAAAAAAAAATTTTGTTCCCTTCTGACAGTGGTCGACATACCGAAAATGGGCAAAGATGTCTGTTGCCACGCCAGAAGGTGGATTGCAGATAAATATGAAGAGAGGAGACAAGAAAAGGCTCTGATTTAATGTTTTGTTTCGTACTTTGATGCATTGATATGTGATGCTGGCTATGTGTATTGTGATGTTCCCACTGAATTAAAACCATTTGTACAATGATTGAGTCAAAATATTGAATTGTAGGAACCTTGTTTTTTTTTCGGCCCGTCTTTTTTTCGCCCTCTCGCATTAGATTTCGAGTCTGCGGAGGATGTCATCCATAAAGGTTACGTGCTGTGGCCTTAGTCCTGCAGACTCTACCACAGTATATGCTCTTCACTGAATATGTTTGACAATGGCGATCTCTACTTACTCAAGCCGTCGAGTCAATTCAGCTAGAATTCAATATGCACAGCATCTGAGACTCCAAGGTGATGGAGGATGATACTATAGATCATGATATTTTTATACCAACACTGACTTTCTGTACGGAAGCGTCTGTATGTACCGAATAGCCCCAGGGGACCAGCCACCGTTACTCTGATTACTTTGGAACCGAAACGGAAGCTTCGCTGCCCCCAGGGGCTTCTGAGTTTCCGGGAATTTGGAAGTAATGACGCTTTGTGTCGTATAACGGGATATGCGACTCAACAACAAGGGAAATTACCTGTCAAAATTCACAGCACGAAGAGACTCCGCCGTCGTGACTACCACTGTCGGTTCTGTTCTTTATTGCGTGCTGGTTTCTATTTTCGCAGGTCTCCATCAGTGAACACATCGATAAACATCAGCTGGTCTCCTGGAGTATATTGGCTCGACACTAGTCAATAACTCACCATTGTTATCACTGAACCCTAACGTGACTGAAATAACAACAGCAAAGCACCTGGTAGAACCATACAGACCTGTTGGCTTAGTGGGAGATATTTATTTTCTATAATATTTGAATTCACCTCAGGTAAATCGTGAAATGTATACAAGTGGCGGGGGGAGGGGCAAAATAGGTGTATAAATACCTTTGGAAGATGCCCTCCCAGACATCACATTGATATAGAATAATACAATATAATGCATAATAGATACACTGCTTTATGTACATCAAAACCCCATAAATAAGTAATAATTAAAAATTATACTTGTACTAGGGCCTTCTCAAACGCTTTTGGTTTCAATCCTGCAAAACGTCGGATCAGTGACCGTCAGTAGATATGGATTTTATTTTTCTCTGTTTTTAGTTGTTTTTTTTTTTTTTACATTCCGGCTCAAATGTTACAGCAAATAAATTTCTTCTGAAATGCGATAAATGAAGTTTTAGATGTTGTAATTTAGATGCTTACATTGTAAAATGTCGTCACTATACGTGTTGGAGAAACGGAGGAATGTAATGCAAATTCGTTTACTGTCACAGTAAAATATAGGGAACCAGACAAGATGAGGAGCTAAATGAAATATAGTAATTAAGGTTATGATATTTCTTTTCGCTATTTCTGCAGGATTCTATTTCTATTATATATTGTACAACAATGCAATTTCAAATTTCCTCATTCATAATGCAAATTAGGTTCAAATTTACATTATATTACGTTACATTCGATTGTGTACATCTTTATATCTTACGAAATATCAAAACCCGACGTTCCGCTGCAGGACCATGGCAAGCTGCAAGGGGGCCAAAATCAATTTTTTTTAAATAGATATACTAGTACCCACCGCTGTTTTATGACAATTATATCACTCACTCACTCACTCACTCACTCACTCACTCTATCTCTCTATCTCTCTCTCACACACACACACACACACACACACACACACACACACACACACACACACACACACACACACACACACACACGCACACACACATGTGTACACACACACACACACACACACGCACACGTATGTAACATGTCGTAAAAGGAACGAGTGACACCCCTCTGAGAATGGACTCTTCCCGCGGTCACTTGGAACAGGGGTCAAAGTTCACGCACGAACTAGAGGTCAACTTCTGGTCAGAACTTACACAACACAACGCACGTTTCGGTGACAGACTGACCGTGTAAGTCGGCCAAGTTTACAGGACGTGGTGTTGTGCTGACTGTGAAATTATGTATTGACATGTAGACAGGTGCAACAAAAACAGATAAAAGTGCGGCAGGCTAAAAATCAAAGGTGAGCAACGTTGTGTAACCAACATTGATGATTTCATGCTAAAAACAAATTAAGCCTATCCCCTTTTCCGCCCAGTCCAGTAACCAACATTTTTGTACACAAAATTATGCTACAAACCGGCATTACGCAGGTTTTACAATATAAAGATGTATGGATTTTGCAAATGCAGCACATAGATAAATGATGTACTGAATTAACTGCTGGGCTGGGATTTGATACTAGGTCACTGGCCAGTCTACTAAGACATTAACTCTGTAATGTGATTTGTGTAAGATTGATTACCACTTTTCTAAGACCAGATTCTATAGCCTTGTATATATATTATAAGTTCCCCTGCTGACTGTCTTAGGCAAGTTTGAATTATGTAGTTTGAATGTACTTAATGTTCACGGTAGGAACAGTTTGCAGTCTGAGCAAAATGGAGGTGTTCACGGAACAGTGTGTTCACTGCTGTAGCAGGTGCAGAGAGAAGAAAATCGGCCAATTAGTTTGTGGTACGTACAGAAGTGACTGCAAAAACTGTGAACATAAACTTAGGATAACTGAGATAAAATCAAGAATTACAGTTTGTACAAATATTTTTACTATTAGGCTAATTAGCTGTATATGTTGTTATCCCCAACAGATGCAGTCTTTACCGAGGTTACTCAAGAGACCAAAGTTGCTGTCATACACATGGAGGGTGAAGTTCCACACAAGTTGTCTTTCACAACAAGACGTATTGATGGGCACAGTTGACAAGTAAGTATTTTGTACCTAACTTCACACTAGCTAGTCTCCCAAGTCAAACTATTCACTGTGTTAAGAATGTTGCTGCACTTAATAAGTAAGCCCCTTTTACACATAGCCTGATATGACCTGCTGAACACTATAGCTGAAGTCCCAACCATGGTTATAATTAATTAGGAGTAGCCTATGATAGGTCGGCATTGATTTGTTGGTGTTCGGCAAGGTAGATTTTCAAACAGTCCATTTTTTTGTATGGGGCAGGAGGAGTGAAGTATGCTGTATTTGCTGACAAATGTTGTTTGTTTTGGTGTTGTGTTTTACTTTAGTCCTTTTTTGCATGGGCAGGAGGAGTGAAATATGCTGTATTTGCTGACAAATGTTTGTTTTGGTGTTGTTGTTTAGTCCATTTTTTGTATAGGGCAGGAGGAGTGAAATATGCTGTATTTGCTGACAAATGTTTGTTTTGGGGTTGTGTTTAGTCCATTTTTTGTATAGGCCAGGAGGAGTGAAATATGCTGTATTTGCTGACAAATGTTGTTTGTGTTGATGTTGTGTGTAGATGGGGAGGTGTGACAGTGGACCTGGGCAGTGCTGACTGTGGACTGGAGGGGACATATACCCACACCAGCCTCAGGGAACTGGATGCCTTTGCAGGGATGCTCAGAAGTAGGTATATTTTTTCAAAGTACTACTAGCCATTTGTCCTGAGTCTATCATGGTTTGCATCCACTTGGTAGCGTGTGTAGTCCATTGGTTAGTGGCCCTGCTACTGGACCAAGAGGTTGGGAGTTCAAATCCTGGCTGTTGTCACTCACCCAACATGCATTACTGGAAGATGTCACAGTCCCAAGGACTGTTCATTGTGCTTGCATCTCAAAAAGAGCTAAGGACAATTTACTTACTTACTTAGTTCCTCCCGTGCAAGGCACATTGGGCAGCAAGTCTTCTCCACTCTGCTCTGTCTTTGGCGAGAGACTCAGCATCCTTTAGTGATACCCCCTTACTTTCCAGGTCTTTTTGGAGGGTACGTCGCCATGTTAGTTTGGGTCTCCCTCTTTTCCGCTTGCCCTCTGGTTTCCAGAACATAGATGTCTTGGCATGGCGGTCTGAGGTCATCCTGAGGACATGTCCAGCATACCTCATCCTCCTCTCGGTGATGGTGATGCTGAGTGGTTTTGTACCAGTTCTGTCGTATACTTCCTTGTTGGTAATCCTGTCTCTGTATGTTATGTGTAGAATTTTACGGAGGCATCGTTGTTGGAAGGCATCCAGCTTGTTCCGCATTTGCCAATTTGCCCAGTACTTAATAATGACTATGAACCTATAAATACTGTACATAGCATCTGTCTTCTCTCATAACCAGTGGAAGGTTCTCCTTAGTAAACCCAACCCTAGTTCTACCTGATACTATGTGATAGTGTGGTTTATGATGTTTTTGCATTATAGACTCCCTCAAGCAATGGAAGATGGAGGGTAAGAAGGCAGTCTGGCTGAAGGTGCCCATCTTACAGAGCCGGTTTGTACCGGTTGCTGCCAGTCAGGGTTTCCAGTTCCACCATGCAGATAAAGACTACTCCATGCTGACAGCCTGGCTGCCGGCGGGCAGCTGTAAAATACCTCACTTTGCATCACATCAAGTTGGTGTTGCAGGTACCAAACTAAGAACATTATACTAGTAGATACATGTGTACATATGTATGTATATAACTTGCGACACAAGTTATCTGGCACGTATGACCCGCTACTACGGTCACGTGTCTCTGACGTCACGTTCCAAGAGTAGACGGGTCCATTCCATGAACAAGGTTGATGGAGTCAACCGAAAATTTGGGTAAGTCCCAATTCTGTAATCTAAGTGTTGGAAGTTAAAGCTTAGTCTTTATTTCCTATAATCATCTTGTTTTGTTTCTATTTGTACCCCACAGGCTGTGTTCTCAGGGAAGATACCAAAGAAGTTCTTGTTGTTCAAGACAGAAATAGGGTAAGACGTGAAATCTTTACTTACATTCTAAAAAGGCTTATGTGTATTCCAGGTAAATTCTGGTGTACTGAAAGTGCAAAAACATTCAAAATGGGCACTCACTCACTACATGTATCTGGTTTAGAGTCTACATGTACTACGTGAGGTTAGAGTTTAGGCTTAATGACCTCAGCATTTACCTCTATTCTTTGGGTTGACAATATGTACTGTACATGTAGGTTAAGGTGGTGGAAGTTATTCCTTAAGTTGTCCATCCATCTCTTCCTTAGTTGACCTTGTTGATGCCATATCCCTGAATGCCAAGAGGCACTTTGATTTAAGCCTGCAATCTCAGCGAGACTAGACAGGGGGCTCTCTTCAGAAATAGTCACCAAGTAACCAATCAAAGTGCTAGAAATATTCACAATTATGATTTAAACGAGGCAACATGGCACCAGTGAGGACAGCCAACCTGTAGAGAGAGAAAGACAGAGACAGAGATAGATGAATTTGCAGAGAAATGCATGATATGATTTTTTTATTTGTACAAATCCAGGAGACATCACACATGTGGAAGCTGCCAGGGGGTCTGTCTGATCCAGGAGAATACTTTGGTAAGATATTTAGAGGATATTTCAAGGGACTCCAAATTATTTACTTAGACTTCATGTAACGTTATATAGAGCAATACAAACATATTTTTTAGACTGAATACCTGTGATGGCACGCAGATGTTTGCAGTGGCAGGTGTCTAGCTTTTCTATGACTGTCCTTGGTGCTGCCCAGCTGTTGCAGTTATATAGCATGTTGGAAACACAACAGGCGTTGTACAGTTGTAGCTTCCTTGTCAGGGGAATCCTAGATCTTCTGATCCAGATCTTACAGAAGTATCTAAAAGCAATGTTTCCCATGATGTCAGCTGAACTACAGAGGAGGGACCCCAGGATTTTGCTCTTCCTCCATTCTTCTTCTTCTCATAATGTTTTGATAAAACATCCTTCTGACTAAAAGTATGTTCTTTTCAACAGGAGAGACTGCAGTACGGGAAGTGTTTGAAGAAACTGGGATCCAGTCAGAATTCCAGTCCATCCTGACCATTCGACAACTGCACAACTACCCCGGTGCCTTCGGGAAGTCGGACCTTTATATCGTGTGTAGACTGCGAGCTTTAGGTCATGTCATAGACCACTGTACAGAGGAGATTATAGGCTGTAAGTGGATGGACGTGTCAGAACTGGCTACCTCTCAGTCCACCTCACTCATCTCTACACATGTCGCACGGCTGGTTCTGTATGGCTTCAGGGAAGGCTTCGACAAGGTTGATATTGGAATGAAGGAACTGCCTGCCGTGTTCAGGAACATGACTTACAAACTGTACCACAGACAGATCCCAGACAGTTAAAACATGCGCTAAAGATGTGCTAAGGCCAAGGGGAAAAGTGTCGAGTTTCTCGTAAGGCCAAAATGATGACATCTGCCTCCGCATTGATTTTCAACTGATTTGCAAAAAAAAAAAGATTCTGGTTCTTAATCAACTCAAAATATGCACATATTCTGCCCCCAACAGTTGAGGAAAGTCCTTTTTTTCCCTACCAGTTACAGTTTTTCCATCTATCAATACAGTAGTTTGATTAAAATTTCAAAATTCATTGTTAAAATATTAACCCAGCCTTTTGTGCTGACTTCATGGCGCTTATCATAGCATTTGGGGCTATAATAGGACCTGTTTTTTTTTGCTGTCACTCCATTTTTTTTTCTCAAAAAAAAAACGAGAACCAGCAAATAAAATTGGTGTGGCCTTAAGAACTCATTGAACATCTGAGTGCTAAGTCAGTGAGGCTGGAACACAAACATGACTGATCAGGAGTCCTCAGGTGTTATGCTGTTTTGAAATCCCAAAGTATGAAATACTGATGCAAATGTGCTCATGTGTCACCTGTAAACTTTACGCAAACTTTATTTACCTGAACGTTTTCCAAGGATGAGTACAGTACCGGCCTCTGAGTTTGTCTTGGATCGGTGGTGCACTTCCGCACTTTTCCAAAAGGTGGCGCTGTTATCACGTCGCCAGTCTTTAGTTGAGCTAGCTGGGGCCTATAAGACAATTATCTTCCGTTATAGTAAACAAGTACAGTCACAAGGTTCACCATAGGCTATACTGTTGTATGATAAAACACAATCACATAAAGGTACATTTTTTTTGTTTCTAATTCAGAGACCAACAAAGCTGCTATTACTGTAACAACTCTGAGCTTCACGTACTTTCATGAATATTGCTCATAAACTTAAGCATGGCCCTGAAAAAAATTGCCACTTAAATCTCTTAAAAAACAGATGCCGCCTCTCGTTACTGTCGGAAGAAAAGGGACGAAATCATCCTTACCTTGTCCTTAGCCTTGTTTTCTTGCTTCAACTGCATCTGAACTATCGTTCCTTCAGGCCTTGTAGACCTGTCTGGGAGGTTATTTGCTGATTCTGCACGTCCCGTATCTCTCTCATGAACGCCTTTTGTTGATCATGTATCTCCGTAATGAACGCCGTTTGCTGTTCGCGCATGGAGATGATCTCCCGTAATCTCCAAGCAGATCTTTTGGTGGCTAAAAAGATAGTATCCAACACGCGGACAGTATCCAGCCGGCCGACAGTATCAAATTGACCACCATTGGTGGGGATCAGGACAAAAAAAACGGCCATATATAAAAAGGTAACGATCATTCCCCACAACCTCTGCTTGGAGAGTAATCTCCCGCACCATGAATAGCATGACGACAAAACTCACCACAGCCGCGAGTCTTCCCTGGATGCCAAACTAGTATCGGGCCGTTAGCCGTTTTCCTTCGGCAGCCGAGAGTCCTTCGCCCGCCTGCCTAAATTACCGCTACGGGGGAGTTGAGCCCGAGTACGGAGTTGGCTCGTTTGTCCGGCCAGCCAAACTCCCCCCGGGCTAGACTCCCTTGTAGCGGTAATTTACGCCAGCGGGCGAAGGGTTTTCGCGGCCCGGACAGCGAGTTTGGATTCCAGGGTACCGCGAGTCCTGACAGCGCCATGGAGATTCCCAAGGTCCGCTGGTTTCCATGGCGACCTACAGAACCTTCCGGAGCTGCCTCGCCGTTTGGGAACAGCTTCTTGGACATCTTCGAGAAACCTGGCGGAACATGACTCAAGTGGGACTCAGATTACAAACAGCTAAATCGTTTGATGATAAATTGTAGCAGCTTTCAAATTAAATAATCTGCGCCGGGGACCCTCACCTGTGTCCTGCATCCTAACAGGCCTAGTTACCCACCTATTATCGCTCCCGAGTCCTACATCCTTTCCGCAAATAGCCTGGTTACCGACTGTTGCAAAATACTTGTCTTAAAAATAAAGAGTTTGCTAGAATGTTTGCCTTTCCAGTACACTTCATAGTCTGAAATGACCATGCAGAATCAGAAGGAAATCTAACATTAACAAGCAACTATTAATATTAGTTTGGTATGTTAGTTTGGTATGTTTTAGCGTATCAAGCGACAGAAGTAAGTGGAGAGCAGCAATACACAAAGGGACAGAACTGTTTTAAAGCTGCTAGAGAGACCAGGAAGGCAGACGCAAGGAGCAGACGAAAGGGACTCGTAGAGGAGATATGCGGCACACATGAGTACTTCTGCCGATTCTGTGGCAGAGCCTGCCGGGCCAGAATCGGCTGTACCAGTCACGAGAGCCGCTGCCCAGCCAGACCCGCAGAGCGCAGAGAGCGACTGAAGCTGCAGATCGTCTGGCAAGACGACAGAGGCCCAAGGGCAAGGCCAAGACAAGATGTTTTCCTTCCTACATATCTTCTCAGTTCCTCAGAATCCCTGTGGGTGTAAGGGTTGCTCCAGAAAAGGGCACTAAGGGACGATAAAAAGAAGCGTGTCGCCTGGTATGTGCATTGACTCCAGGATAGCATTGCGATATATTTTTTCAATTATTTCTAATAGCAACGTTGCTTAACATCATCCTTACATTGTCTGATTAGGAAGCTTAGTTCCTTCTTGGCTGAACCGTGCTTACCGGAATATCGAATCCATCACAGGTAGTAAAAAAACTATCAATATGCAACAGCATACTCTGACTTCGAACGGTCAGAAAAACAAGTCATTAATAAAAATAGCTCTTGATTTCATCAGCAAAACGGCTATTAGAGCCTGTTTACCCCAAACCAGCGGACTCTGCGAAATCCGAACCTGACAAACAAAAACTCCGCCACAATTTACGGAAATCCTTCTTGCCCGACTTGGCAAAAACGTCGTCCCGATGTCCAAACCGGTAACGCCGAGTCAGCAACAATCTGCCTCCGTCCTTCAACTCAAGCCAAAGCCAATACCACGGGGAGGCAAAGTCCATGTTTTTCACCCCTGTGATCAACAACACGCATTTCTCAGTAGGGTTGTTTACGCCGGCTGTACAGTATAAATACCGACCCGATCCCCCACCAAACCACAAGCTGCTTCAACCTGAAGCATCACGATGAACAGGGTTCTCCTCTTATTACTAGGCTTTTGCCTAGCCCGTGAGTACTCTTAATTTCTTTGTGATTATTTTTGTACTGTTCAACTGTTAACCTTTTTCGTGTCATATATGAAAGGACAATTAAGAGGGACAATTTGAAAGCTTTGCTTTTCAGGTTCATGCAGCAATTTTTTTTCGCAACTTGTGTCTACAAGGATATATAATATAAGTGTCTCACGTTTCCTCTTATTTCATCACACAGAGGCAAACATCGGGCAAGACCAGCCTGTCCCCGGTAAGGGAAAGCTGCTATCTTTTTATCTCAATAGATTAGTTTTAGAAACGACCAGTGGCGATAGTCCTAAAGACAAGTTAGTAACTTGTACCGTGCCATTTTTTTCTATTCCAACATTTATCACAATACATTATATGCAGCCATCAACGCAGACAAACGCACGGACAACAGACATACTCATTTTAACTTGAGTTAAGGGAAATTCGTGTGAAGTGCATTTCTCAATGGAAATGGTAGGGTTCGAACCCGGGACCTCTTGGTTCCGAGGCAAACACTCCAGCAATCGTGCCATTGGATGATACAATATCAACCCGATGGGGCCATGGTTGGCACACATTGCTGTCAGTTTGTGAATCGGATCTGGTTAACATTTTTGAATGTAAGAACGGTCATTCCATACATAGCTATTACCGCAAATTTGAAGCGTGATACGCAAAACAGTGAGGCATTCATTGTAGCCTCTCAACATATCATGGTTATCAAAACATGGTCAGCAATGTGGGCTCCGCTCCAAGTTGTATCCGATGTCATCACGATTGCATCATTGTAACATGCGACGCATGCCACAACACATACATGGGCTCAACAAATACAGTAACGCAAGCACGACTTCATCCACTCTTTCCGGTGTTATTTGGTATTGACGGACCAGAATACATACTACGTATATATACAGCCATACTGTAAACATATAATATTATAATGTTGCATTGGGAATAGCCTGCCTACATCGAATATAATTTGAATCTCATCGAAGTCTTTTTCTGATTATTTGACCATGGGTACAACAGACATAGCCTGGGTCCCATCCTATTTGTATGCCGATGCTTCCATACTCTAGGGGTTACCTAAGGAGAGTATGGCCGGCATACAAATAGGGTGGCACTCGGTCCACCACAGATCGACGACCTGACAACTAGGTTTTTTTTCCAAATAGGGAGAATAATTCGGGTGGCCGAATGATGACTAAATATTATCCGGTAACTAAATAAATAATGTAGGGATAGTACCATATTGATATATAGTTTCCGTTTCTATTGCTTCCCGTCCTGTAGAGTACCGGCATGGCCAGGACTATCTGTACCGATATGAAGGGGAGATCAAATCCGGCCTCCCGCAGACCTCCCACCGATTCTCCGGCATGAAGATCCGGGCAGACGTCCGGCTGCAGTTCCAAACCGACCCGCAAGACGTCCTCATGCGTCTGGAAAAGATCTCTCTCAGGACCCTCCTTGGAGAACTCGACTCCCCCGAGGAGAAGCGGATGATGACGATGAAGACGTCTGCTGAGGAAGTCGTCCCCGATCAGATGTACGAGGATTCCTTCAAGCAGGATCACCTGGACATGGCGGAAGACTGGTGGATGACAAGATGGCAGAAGAAGAAGGAGGCTTCTGAGGAGATCCAAGAATCAGAGAAGACGTCTTCTGAGCAGAGCTTCAGTCAAGAAGTCCCCGAACAAGACATGCAGGAGTTCCGTAAGCACCTTGAGAAGGTTATAAGGTTCCGCTATGAGGAAGGGGACGTTAAGGACATCGAAGCCAGAAAGGACGAGCCTCAGTGGTCGATCAACTTCAAGAGAGGCGTTCTTCATCTTCTTGAGGTAAGCGTTTCATAAGAAAAGCGTCCTCAAGAAAACAATCAAAGCAGCGAAGACGTTTTCCCAAATTTTCATTCCCAGCTACCATGACATAGACATCACACACGTAACGTCAGTAGTTGATAAAAAGTGTTTATATCGCCCCCCGTCTCTGTCAGATGTTAAAATATGATAACCACTGACAGAGATTAGCTGTTTGATGTAGCACATCACCAGATTATCTGAAATTAAATTTAGAAAGCAGCCTTTTTTTGTTTCCTACTGGTGCACTTTTGCCTTCTCTCAACCAATCCTAACTGCTTAAATCCTGATTATGCACCCTTTTCCAACTGACTATGGATCCTCGTAAGTCTGAACTGATGGACCGTGACGATGACGTCACACCAAACACGTCCTACGATAGGTCCGCCACGGAGAGGATCTACCGCGTCATGGAGGATGACGTCACAGGGCGGTGCGAGACCCTGTACAACATCCGGGACAATCAGGTCCAGAAGAACATCCGGGAGATCGTCAAGACCAAGGACTACAGGAACTGTGAGGAGAGAAGGGAGCATGCACAGGCCATCCAGTCTGGATTCATTCCCAAACAACAGGTTAGACTTCATAATAGATTTCTGAAGTAGTTTTTACCAACTTTAAAACACCCCTTATAAGACATTGTTTCGATGTATGTTGTCTGATTTTTCATTCAAAGAATTTTTAAATACTTCAGCGTTAAAAACTTTTTGTCTTAGTTAAGAGAAATCGTTAAAGATTTACATTAAATAAAATGTTTAAAGAACTTTAAAATTCCTGCGGCCACATAGGGCATCTCCTTGGTGCTGAAATCACAGTGCCGTGTTATCACTTTGATAATTGCAGCGTTTTGTGAAATAATCCTGAAGCTGTCGTGCTCTTCGATGTTTGAATGATATATAAGTAAAGAGACTCTTTTGACACAACCAAGTCTTTTATTTAGCCGACGTTTCGGTGACCGTTTGTCACCTTCCTCTGGGCAGTTCTGACTGGTTCACATTGCATTGCAGCACAGGTTCCGCTGCTACAGATGCATTCCCAAATGTACAATATTTACATATGCGTGATTGGATTACAGGGAAATATATCTACAATGCGTTCCTAAGCGTGCGGAAGTTGGATATTTATACATAATGGCGGTTACTACAACGTCGGCTGAATAAAAGACTTGGTTGTGTAAAAAGAGTCTCTTTTACTCAGTGTCTAATACCAACCTGCTGAAACTATTCACGGAGGATCCGAGTCTAGTACTCTGCCGTTATGTCACACGACCCCATTTTGAATTCCAGGAAGAGGAGCGGAAGGAGCTTCTGGAGTCGTCCGTGCAGACCCGCGCTGACGTCATGATGGACAGGAACGTCCCAGACAAGTTCATCATCAAGTCTGTGGAGTCACGTGGTCAGCACGTGTTCCAACCGTACTCAGACAAGGGCGGTGACGTCATCACATTCGCCAAGTAAGAACCTGGTTTTCCCTGCTGCCTATCCCCAAAACATGACAAGTTTGGCGCCAAAAGGCTACCGTAGCTGGCTGATGTTACAGAAAAAATACTTAAGTTCATATTAACGTCTATAGCATCTTTTGTTAAATGATCTCGGTTTGTGAGGTAAAAGGCAGTGGAAGGAGAGGGTTGGGCTCCACTTTCCAATACTGTACCCTAGACACAACCCACTACTCGTTAAAAACTGCTCGTTTAAAACAGTTTGAGTCCTTCCCGCACTAATGCGTGGTGCATAGGGCGGTGCCCTTCTCCAGCTCTGTAATCCTCGGGCCACACAGTTACAATCACTGCTGCAGGGGACTAGTCCACTGTGTGTGTCTAACTCCCATACCCTTTCCCAAATGCTGAGTGCTAATCAGAGAAAGTATGTATGTACCATTTTTTGGTCTTTGGTATGACTTGGCCGGGGATCGAACTTTAGACTTAACGAATACGTACAAGGCGACCACTCTACCCACTTGGTCATTGCACCGCTACTGCTCGTACTGCTTAAAAAAAGTATGGGGTTACCTTTACCCACCATCTAAGGATATGAAATTTCCCGTTCCCCAGACAGTCCATGAGACTGCTGGAGACCTCACCCCTGACTGAGGAGCTCCCGGAGCCGGAGACATCCGAGCGGAAGGGCGGCCTCATGTTCGTGTTCGAGGAGAAGACACGTGACCGAACCTGGGACCGCTACCTGCGCATGAGCGACGCCCAGAAACACGACTTCACTCAGATGAAGAAAGAAAAGGTAACAACGGAAGTGTTTTTCTGAGTTTGGCATTTTTAAATGATAAAAACTCGCCCATAGGTAATAGTAATATGTACCTTGAGCTTTAGAGACACATCGCAAGATTTTTTTTTTGCTTTGTGTGCAAAAGTAGGCTATGTTTTCAATTCTAGCATAGTGCCGTCTGAACAGAAAAACTAGAAAGATAGGTTTTGGTGATTTTTTTCTCTTAGATAAAGTCTGTATCGAAAATCATCATTGCACATTGAACAATGGTTTAATATCTAAATTTTGTCTAGGGCAAACTACAATTTTTTCAATGTCTACTGTTCAGATCCAAGCCCTGTGCCAGGACATCTCTGTTGACCTGAAGAACGGAGTTTCCATGGAGACGACCCGGAAGTTTATGGAGCTGGTGGAGGAGCTGCGGGATCTACATCCGGGTCAGCTGCAGACAATCGTCATGGAGGAGATGACATCTCAGGTGAGTTTACCATCCTAATATGATACCTAAATGTTGCTATCCAAACTTAAGTCTGTATGATGCCTCGTCAGCTACTTGTACCTTAGTCCTGAAACCATCGTAAGTTTTTTGTATGAAGTTTTCTGTATGAGGTCAAAACTGACCCCATACTGTTTTGCACGATTTTTTTTGTGACTCGATTTTGTGATTTTTAGATCATTTAAGCCATAAGATCATTTAAGCCATACGATACTGTACCTTCAAGGCATAGCTACAAAGGTATTTCATCGTCTGTAATGCTGCAATGGTTCAGCTTCTTCTAAAAGTTTCCTGCCTTCTTCTGACAGCAACAAGACTGGCAGAACAAGGACACCCGGAAGATCCTACTTGACGCCCTGACCTTGGTGGGAAATAAGGAGGCGCTCAAGGTCATCCAGCAGCTGATGGAGGAAGACAAGGTCACGGATGACGAGTGCGCACAGCTGCTGACCGGGATCTCCCTCTCCTTACAACCATGTCCGGAGTCTGTCTCTACCATGCTGGTAAACAATAGCTTCTATTTCTGTATCTGTTTCTGTATCTAGATCTGTATAGCCGGTAGAACCGCCCTTCGGCGTAACACACCAGCTTCGCAGTCACGCGGCGCGGCGGCAGCTAGCTATATATCACATCGAACGACTTGTTACACTCAGTCTTTGCACATTCAATTGCAGGAGGTGTTTAAAGCTTTCTAGTGATGATGCTCTAATGCAACTGTGCTTGATGGCAACGAGTTCCAGTCTACGATAGTTCTGGGGAAATACGATTTTTTTAATATCTTAATTCTTGGTTGATAACTCTGATAAAAGATTTTCGCATGTCAGTGTATAACGAGCATTCTAAGACAAAATGTGCTTCGTCTTCTACACAGTTACTGTTACAGAGAGTGCAAATTCTGTTATTTGGGGGAGTCTGGTTATACCTACCAATTTCGATCTGGAATTGATAAAAAGAACATGTCACCTGAATGATGGTCTATATTCCACCCATGCAGGATATCGTGAAGTCTGCCCGCTCCCAGTCCAGTTCGCAGGTCCGCCGGTCCGCCTGGCTGTCTCTCGGCACGCTGCTGCACGGTCTGCTGGCTCACGGGAAGGACGGACAGCTGGAGAAACTTCTGCCGGACAACAAGGAGACAGTCATGCAGCTGAGGAGGAAATACTCACAGGTCAGTACTACAGCTGCGGTCGTGTAGCGCAACAGTAGAGTGCTCGACTTGGAACCAAGAGGTCCAGGGTTCGAGTCCTGACATGCCACTGATCTTGTGCCCTTGCCTTGGGAAAGGCACTTGACGCGACGTAACGTGTTATTTGTTCTATCTGTGTAACACAACACCAGCAACAGCTTCCGAAAAAAATTTCATCAGGTTGGTAGAATTTAGGAGACAGGTATTTCTTTTTACACAACCGGTAAATTCTCACCTTGCTGACGTTTGTGTTCCACGTGTATTGCACAGTTGCAATTTCAATAAATCAAATTGCTTTGAGAAAAAGGAGAACAAATATGTTTCCCTTCAGGAACTGCAAAAAGAATTATTAAATTATTTACAAACATTGTTTCTTCAGGAGCTGATGACCTGCCTGGAAGACGCCCCATCCGACGACGAGAAACTGACGTGTCTTAAAGCCATCGGTAACGCCGGTCTGGAAGACACTGTGGACCGTCTTCAGGACCTCATCACCGGGAAGAACTCTGACGTCACACCCTTGGAACTCCGTGTAGAGGCGATCCGTGCCTTGTGGCGTGTGGCTGAGACGCTGCCTCACAAGATCCTGAACATCCTGTTCCCCGTGTTTAACAACCCGCAGAGGGACCCTGAGGAGAGGACCGCGGCGTTTGACGTGATGATGGCGTCCGACCCCACACTGTCGGTACTAGAGATGATCGCTCAGGCAACACAGAGGGAGACCAGCAACCAGGTATGGAAATAACACGATCCTCCACAGCATCCGCTATAATTCTGGGCACGGCGGGGTCATGGAAACATTACAGCAAGTTTGTATCAAAATACTAGTAACACGATTCTACACAGCGTCCGCTGTAATTAAATCCAAGATCATGGCACAGCGGGGTCCTAGGAGCATTGTAGCGTTTTCTTGCCAACACTAACTTCCCCACGGTTTCTTGTACAGGTTGGCCAGTATGTCTACACTTCCCTTAAGAAGTTGTCAGAAAGCGAACTTCCCAAAGACAAGAGAATGAAGAGGGATTGCACAATCGCCCTGCGTCTTGCCAAGCCCTTCAACAAAGGCATCCAGTACTCCCAGAGCCGGAGGTTCCAGGCTATGGACAGTAAGTGTGCTTTTATGTTGCATAACTGTTGCAGAAAAGCAGATTATACGTTGTGTAGACAACATTCAAAAGGCTGTGGAAGGAGGCAAACGGAAGTGGAAGGAGAGGGATGGGTTCTGTCTTCCAACACCATGCCCTAGACACAGAGGATTGACAACCCACTGCTTTTACAGCATCAGAAGGACTACATGACTACCTTTACCTTTTTTTATGTTTACCGAAGGAAAACATATCGTTTCCTCTTCTTCTGTTACCATCATGATGGCAACTATTGTTTGGTTACATCATGTTGCAATTTTATAGCAGGAGGGATTTGGACCCCTGTCCGACCATATATAAATGTGTTTGAGTAAGAATTAACAGAGCAGACCATATGCGGAGGTAAAGACAATGTTTTTGCTCTGCAAATGTTACGTTTCTAGTTTAAAAAAAATTTTCTACAAATCTACATAGTTACATATTTCCATTTCCAGAGGACATGCGGATGGGAGCCGCTATGGACATTAACACCGTTGCCGATAAGAGCTCCGTCTGGCCACGTTTTGCCAGCGCCAAACTAGGTGTGCACGCGCTGGGCTATCACATGGACGTGTTGGAGACCGGAGTCCGCGTGGAGGGACTACAGGCCATGATCGACTCGCTCCTAGGTAAAAATATTTGTAGTGCATGTCATAAGGACAGACCAAGACGTCCTGAGTTCGAATCCTGCCATGCCACCAATCTTGCGCCCTTGGGAAAGGAACTTTACACGTTCAATTTCCTCACTTTACTCTTATGAAAATGAGTATGTCTGTTTGTTGTCCATTCGTTTGTCTGCGTTGGCGGCAATTTGCGTAGCCAGTGAAGTTGGAAACATAATGTTCAGTCAAAGCAAAAATTAGAACAAAGTTATTTTTCTTACTCACATAAAAATATTTGAAAATACACTACTTATAGGTAAGGATAAAGAGGACAAGAAGAGCATCTTCGATTACCTGAAGAAGAAGAGTCAGGAGCGCCACCTTCTGAAGAACCCGGAGAACAGCAGGAAGTCTCTCCACGACATGGAGATGGAAAAAATCCAGCAGAAGGTGAGGAATAAAGGGTTAACGCCCCGCCCCGAGTTGTATATAGTGAGATAATCCCTGGTCAGGTGCGATAATCGCCAAATAAACCACCGAGTGAGCGTATATCGCACCTTACCAGAGATTCTCTCACCATATACACCGAGGATGAAGTGGGACATTATTGTTATTATCATATAGCCCATCCAACTGACACGCCTCCAGATTGTCCCTTAGCATGAACAGATGGTTAATGTCCCGCCTCAAGATATTTATGGTGAGATAATCACTGGCCAGGTGCGAAAACTACAGAATAAACCACCGAGTGAGCGTACCATTGATAGTCCTGCCCCGTGTAAACTGGTATGGTCCAAAAAGTACTTTTGAAGTTACGGCCTGATAACCGATGAGAAATAGAACTTTCTTTCTGATTGGTCGACGTCTTCTGGCTGTATGATAATTTTCAATTAAATAACTTTCCTACTATTACTCCAGCTTCCAGTGGAAACCCGCCGGACCAGCGAGCCCCGCGGCCACGTTTACATGAAGTGGTTCGGGAACGAGATCAGATTTAATCCAATCAACAAGGACGACATGCAGCAGCTCATGAACCAGGGCCGCTGGCCAATCACAGACAATGTTAGTGATACAATTTTTAAGCAATTCATAGTATCCACAGATTTTGATGTAACTGCTCTCTAATCAGAAGCTGATTTAACTGTGATACTTTATCATGTATTTCCAAGATTTGCTGAATAATTTCTAAAGAGAATTTGTTACTGCGATTTTTAGATAATTATATATGCATCATAATCAATGTTATCATTGAATACTTTAGACGTCTTTACTTACTACTACACCTGCAATGTATGGTTCCCTCAATAATGATAACCATTCAAAAACTACAAAAAGGAGGAGGAACTACGTCACGGCATGGATACTCACGTGACCAAGGCAACCAAGCTTGTTGAAGCCTCCAGGCAGATTCCTACTCAGCTGGGCCTGCCGATCACCTTGGAGATGAACTCTGCCCTCCTGATGACCTCTGACCTGACCACCAAGCTGAAGGTCACACCAGGCATCTTCCGGGAGGACAGGCAGAACCAGGAGGTCAAGGGTGTAGACTGTGAGGTCAAGGGTCACCAGGAGTGAGTATAAAATATTTTTTTAATCAGTGACTGTTTAAAAGGGGGTCAAAGAAACAGCCTGAGACTAATTTAGAAGGACAAAATCTAGTAATGAATGACAAACAGTTGTAGAACCTAAACTTTGGTTGCTACACCTATAAACGTAAAGGATCGGTGATGATGATGATGATGAATTGGTGATTGGAATGCGCCATGATTTCGTAGCATACCTCTACACTGCATGTAGCAGCTCAAGAAATAATTTTATTGAAGGATAAACACTCATAAACATTCATTCATTCAGTCATTCATTCAGTCATTTACCCTGATCCATTGATTCAGTGGTTTTCCTTAATGCCACGATCACGATCGTGATAATGATCATCCTGGCATACTCATTTTCACATGAGCGAAGTGAGGAAAGTGCTTTTCTCAAGGGCAGAGTGTTCAGGTGACAGCAGGATTCGAACCCAGGACTCCTTGGTTCTGAGCCGAATACTCAGTTACGACACACAAACCCTATTCTTTCCATTCTCTACTCTTGTGATATAGCCTGGCCCTGCAGGTTGTTGGTAAGATGAGTGTGGACTGCCGTGTCATCCAGTCCGGAGTCGCGCTGAACGCCGTGATGACTGCCACCCTCCCCCTGTCCGGGAAAATGGCGCTCGACCTGGAGAACAAGAAACACCAGCTCAGCATCGACACACCCGAGAAGGAGCGAGAGCTCTTCGTGTGGAAGTCAGAGCCGTTCGTGTTTACCGAGGAGAGACAAACCCACCCGAACCCCGACGGAGTCGAGCTCGAAGACAAGATCTTTAAGAAGATGACAATCCAAGGCAAGAAGACGCAGAGGTGGCCAAATAAGGCGAGACAGATTGCCTCCATTTTTCCATTCAATAAGTTCTGATAAAATCTTGATTTCTCCACCAAACAGAGCACGTTTGACACTTGACCCATTACCAGTTGTTATTATATGATATAGTCCTTCATCAAACATGACGATTGACAAACTCATTTTGAGTTGTGAACTTCAAGTTCCTTTTTCCGTGCTGATCATAAAAGGGTGATTGAAAAATATCGGAAAGTATGACCAAGCTCATAGTTTCAACAGATGTAAACTGAAAGAGAGATGAAGACAGAGAGGGAGTCAGAGAGACAGAGAGAGACAGAGGCAGAGAAAGACAGGCAGACAGAGAGAGAGACAGGCAGACAGAGAGAGATGATGGAGTGTGTCTATAACAATTATTTCTTTTGGCAGTTCCACACAAGCTTCGGAAGGGAAGAGCTCGGGATGGAGTTCTCCCTGGACACCAAGATGGTTTCCCGCATAAACAAGGAGCAGACCTCCCCCTTCCAACCCCTTACAGGCCCCATGGAGCTCCGACTGTCCTGCAAACCAGGCATGCACGCCCCCACGCAGATCGACTTGGAACTGCAGCACAGTGAAGACACCGTCCGCCACTTGAGTCCTCTGGAGCGCTTGGTCTTCACAGAAGAGAACGAAAGAAGAAATGAGCTGCGGATGGAGGTGTTAGTTCTCGCTAAGCACCCCCAGCACCCTCGCACCATGAAGATTAAACTCAACGTGTATGACGAGGTTTGTTTCTTTTAACTGTTTGTTGTACATCTTACTCTCTGACGTTTAATATTTTTTCAACGATTTACAGTAAACTTACTGACTGATTTGCCACCAGTCAATGTATGCTCGCTTTGTGCCTGATCTGTAGGCAATGAGCATCTTGGTAAAGACACATAGCACGAAACATCAACTGCTCTTACTCCTGACTTCTGTTGCGGGGATAAAGGGCACTGGAAGGAGAGAGATGGTCTCCTCCTTCCAAAACCATGTCCTAGAGAGAATGGACTAACAACCTACTCAATAAAGGCTGTATCTGGAACTGCACTGTTGTACCTTTACAATATAAAAGTCTATGGAAAGTTCAACTTAGTTAATAGTCCCTGGGACTTGATTATTTTGGTGTTTTAAATAGATAAACCCGGAAGACACGGGAACTGATTCTGAGGAGGCCCGCATCCCCGGACGGTTCCGTTACGGCAAGTCTGATTGGACGGAACCTGGCGTTTCCATGGAGACTGACGTCATGATGAAGCAGTGGCTTGACCGGATTCTGCGCAGAACGATCGCAGTGCAGCTGGAGCGATCTCCCATCCCGGGCCAGGAGACTCAAGATGTTCGTATCTTCTGTTAGTTCTTCCTGAGTGAACATCTTCGTCTTAAGGGGCTTTTAAGGGGAAATGACTCAATTGAAAAAAAAAATCTATTTTGAAGCGAATCCCCGGCCCCCCTATATATTTATATATATTATTAGGAAGAACGGATGTAACAGTAATTCATTCTATTTTTTTTCCAATGCATTATTATTGAAATCTAGAATATTGAGAATGATTGTAGGGATATGCGTCCCTACGCTGTACATTATGCCAAAGCCGAATTTACCTGTATTGTAAGATGTCTTATTTTCTGACTGCAGTTTAAGCTGTGCGTGACAACTGAGTTGGAGTTCCCCGCCGTGCCTGAGTGGCGTCTGCTGCAGGACAGGAGGGTCAGAACTAACGTCAACGCCAAGTGGGGACGAGACTGCTCCGGGAACGACAAGAGGATGAAGATCAATGTACGTCACTTCTCTAGCTGCGTTCTTGTTCTCATATGGTCTTTTCAAGCTGTACCATTTTCTCAAAACGTAAGCAATTTTCCCCCTTTCTTTCCACTTTTGAAAGTATCTGAAACGTTTATAATGCAGGTGAGGAAGCACAGGCAAACAAACACACTGGCACTCAAACAATACTCCTCCAATATACCTTCTTTCTCTTACAGGCGAGGTGGCAGAAATCCGATGAACAGCGCCGCCTGGAGCGGAAAGAGGAACTGCAGGAGCAGCACCACTCTAGTCAGGAAGACACAAGCGAGGAGTTCAGCCATCCCGACAAGACTACCATCTATAGGTAAAGATTGATAACTACAAACATGGTGCTCGTATATAACGTGGGACAAGGGTCAATTTGGAGGCTAGCATCTGTTAAATGACATTTTTAACAAAAAGAGATATTATTTTGTTTTAAATTCTGCCTTTTGTGTTACACTGTACAACACTGAACGTTGTTCTCAGTGTCTCAGAGACTCCGGGGTTCCAAAGAGCGAATTAAGCTGAAATATTATTTGGCATATGAATCATAGTATTAGGAGCGCAGTCATGTAAGACCCTCATTAATGCATGGTTTCTAATTATCGATACAACTCATGAATGAGACCATAACCATGTTTGTGTGTGTGTGTCTGTAGTGCGTGCCTACAGGACCGGCGACAGGGTCTGATTGAGACTCCGGTCTGCAGGAGAGCGGTAGAACAGCGCAGTCAGCTCAGACAGATGGATATCGACATCGAGTATCACAACGTAAGGCCGCGCCATTTGACTCTTTGGCTCTGTATAAGCTTAGCTACAACAAAGAATGTTAGGTACGTGTGAACCGCTACACAATGCTTAGAGAGGAACGCATTTTTTTTTTAAATTGCTCCGAAATGGGTTGAACATTCTTGAACACCTAACCTATTTTCCACACATATACATTAAGCTTTAAGAGGTATACCTTAAGATGATTGTTGATGTTGAAAATTGTATGAACAGTTTAAGAATCTCTGAGCTGTTATACTTAGTCGTTTCGTTCAATGCAGCTTTCTAGAAAATACATTGTAAGAAATAATGCATGTCTAATGTTATTCTTGAGATGCCCACTAATTTTTTAAGACCACAGGTAATGTACTAATAATAGCCATTGCAACTTTGAAATGTGCCTATAATGTGAATCTTGGTCTATGTGAAACTTCCTATATTTTCAGATTCCCACCTGGATGAAGGAACTGTCCTCCGTAGTAAAGCAGTACATCTACCACGTCTTCTTCGACCGTCTCACTGTCCAAGACATCGACATCCACAATGACGAAAACAAGCTGCGCATGCGCTGCACCGTCGATCAGGAGGAGAAGGAGATGAACGTTACCATGGCAACGCCAGAAGAGAACGCCGAGATCAGCAGAATCTCCATCGAGGAGCCGAAGATCCGTCTAGACGTCTCCAAACTTCTTAAGGTGCCTATGATGAAGACGGTGTGGAACGTTGACTTCCCCATGCAGTTCCCTTCCACAAAGAAGACCATGAGAGAACAGTACATGGACATGCTGATGGGCAACAAGTTTACCAGTAAGTTTTACTTCTTTGCCGCTATCTTTCTTTTCTTTCTTAATTTCAGGCATCCATGGCCCATATAGAATAAAACATACAAATAGAAATACATATGATAACAGCAATTAAAATACATGCTAAGAACACAGACTGTCCCAGAAATTGTGGAAGAAATTTTGGCAGAATATTACGTGGGAGTTGAACAGATTGGATGATGTTTAAAAAGTTGTCCAGACAACATAGGAACGAATAGAATTGTTTGCGCCATGTAGCGTCAAAGGTGTTAGTTCTATGATAAACAAACATTTCACTAGCATTAATTGCAGAATCTGGTTAAAGTCATTACTATTAAAATCTTGTGGACATACTTTATGGACGGCAAATTTACCCGTGGGTTCTACTTTCTTTGGCCTTAGCTAAATTAATACAGTAAGTTCACTTGAAAAAACATTTTAAAAAACTGTCGATGACCAGATGCCACTCAAATTCTTGGAGTCACTTTTGACAGAAATCGTGATCAGAATTTCTAGGTTTGCCTATCAGAGTCTGTACTTTACATGTGGATACTTGCTGAAAAAGTTAGAACTTTTCGACTTCAATATACATGTATGTCTCTTTAGATTTGTAGATCAATTTGAAACACTAGATCTAGACCTTTTCAGAACTCTCTTAGTGGTTGCCATATTGTATTTTCACCAAAATATGAAATTATGACCTGACTTCCCCACAGCTTACTGCAAGTTCCAGCCCAACAACAGAATCCGGACATTTGACGGAGTGGAGTTCACGTACAAGGTCGGACCGTGTGACCACATCCTGGCCAAGGACGCCTCTCCCGAGCAGAAGTTCATGGTCCTCGTCAACAAACCCGACATGGAAAACACCAAGAAAACCGTCAAGGTATTTAGCAAAATCTTGTTGTTGCTGTGTTAGTGTGCAACGGTAACTTTTAATGAAAGTTTATTGCAAATACATGCCCGAAGGCTAAAGCAACATGTATGAAAAAAAGAAAGAAAATACAATGATATATGAGACTACGTCTAACATTATACTACATTCTGCAACATACATGGTACCAGTTTTGCTGGGTTTGGCTTCTTCTTTTGAGGCAGAATGAATTTACTCACTTCTTCTGTACTACTTTTTTTTTAAATTTTAGTAGTAAAATTGTTTTCTTGTGGCGCAGAATAGTGGTAAAGTAAGGGGGCATTTTGGACACGACGGTAAATAGTTGGCTTCTCATACCGTCATGAAATTATAGACTATTGAAATGATTTTCGTCGTCGACTGCATTTTGGAGCAATATTTGCAGTCATCTCTTAACTGTTATTTTAAACACGATATAACATAGACTCCGCCAGCGTCACTTTCGTACGGGGGTATGGATCACGGAATTCGAGAAAAAGGTGAATGATAATTGGCCAGGAGAGTCTGTCTGCGGATAGTTAGTTCACCCTCTAGATATTCATGAATTCATACAATACTGTAGTTAAAAATCTATCAGCACACATTCAATGAAATACATTGTATAGACATGATGGTTAAAGTTCTCGGAATAAAACTATGATTGTGACAATGCCGGGTACCTTTACCACCCTCAGGTGTTTCTGAAGGGGAAGAAGATTGAGATGTCGGTAAACAACGATCAGCCTTCCAGCGGGGAAGAGAGACAGGTAGTACACGCTTTTACCCATTTTCCACCGTAGAGCTATATTTATTTTGTAAGCAGATTTTGTTAGCAAATTAATGTCAGCTAACAGACATAATAAAGTATCCAACGCTTACTTTGTTCTACAGGGTTTATAATCCAGGCATTTGACCTCATTCAGATACAACTGTGTAGATTACACAAAACTGAAAAAAAATCATATAATTAGGAAATATTGATCCATGGTCACAAAACTTATACCCTATAGGATAGCGATCATGTTAATCACAAAATAACAGCTTGAATCGAAAGTAAACCATGCAGTTCAACCCAATTTGTTTCTCATCTTGCCTTTAAACATTCAGAATCATCTGCAAAATGCTCATATTTTGCCCTGAACAGTTGAAAACAGTCCTTTTCTTCCTGGTTGTTACAGTTATTCCATCTTTCAATGCAGTGGTATCATGAAAAGTTCAAAATTAATTGTTTAAATTTTGAACTGGCCTGGTGTGTTGACTTCATGGCTCCTATCGTACCATTTTGGGCCATAATAGGATGCCTGGGCCTGTTTTTTTTTTTTTTTTTCGCCCGCCCTCTCCATTATTTTTCTAGAAAAATTCGTTAACCAAGAAATTAAATTTGTGTGGCCTAATGATCATTCTCTCTAGATGCAGATCACCATTGACAGCCGCCAGGTGTCGCTTCCGCACATGATTGTCCACAAAATCTACAAGGACGAAGAGGATGCTGGGAGTCCCGTCATGTTCACCCTCCAGAAGGTCGGGAAGAAGGTCAAGGTCAACTGTGATGACCTTGGGCTGATGGTGGAGACGGACGGACACAGCACGGATGTCAAGGTCAGTCTGTCAATCAGTCATAGATACAGTATGTCAGTATGTAGGTGACAGTATGCATCAATCTGCAACCTTAATCAAAATGTTTCCAGTTTTAATGCCAAAAAATTCATTCTCAAAACCTCGAATATACAATGCTGAATATTTCATATTCGGCATGAAAACTGGACATATTCTAAAAATAAGAATATAAGGCAGATATATTGAGACATACTGCTTCGCATTAGCACATTTGCATCATTATTTCATATAAAACAGCATAGAAACGGGCTCCGAGATGAATTCTTTCGTTCCTGGATGTCACCTCCCATATCAGCCCCTAACAGTAACCGTTTTCCATCGGCTAATCTGACTTCCAGATTTCTCACGACTACCGGGGTAAGATGGCGGGCCTGTGCGGGAACTTTGACGGGGAGCACCACTCTGAATATGAGGGACCCAGCCGGGAGATCTACGCCTCTCCGTTCGACTTTGGTCTGTCCTACAGGATCCCCAGCCCGGAATGTCACCAGGAAGGTAGTCAGCTCTATAAATGCTGATGTCTTGTTGTTGCTTTATAGTGAATCGTAGCTTAAACACAGTCTCCACCTATTAGCCAACGACGATTAAGAAATTTTAATTAAATAGAATAATTTCCCAGGCGGGAAGTTTTGTCGACATATAACCGTTACTTTAATTACTTCCAGTACAGAGGTATTGTTTTGGGTAGTTTTGTGAGTGAGTGGCCAAATATTCGGTTTCACTTGATTGGCAGATTTTTACTTGGTATTTCCTGGATTCAAGGATTTGGTCACCAGGATTTATGCATTATAGGAAACATAGACCATGGTGTAGTTTGATATGTATAATTTGATTTAGTTTGTAATTCATTAATGAAAACTATGTCTATTTCTTGGTAGTCTTAGCCTGGTATCCAGTCTTACGTGATTGGGGGTATTGGGGTGTTCAGGCAGGTTGTGCCTCCGGGGTGTCTAATAGCTTCCCCCGTCCAGTGCGACAGGCCGTCCCGGTAGGAGTGTTATGCTAATTAGAGACAGTAATATTGCTTGGGGATTTGGTGTTCGTGGAGGGCTAATCAATCTCTCGTGAAATACACACCGGGAAACCTATGAGAAGCGGGCGGGATAGAGCTCTTGTGGCCCCGACCACGATCAGACTTGATACAAGGCTACGGTAGTCTTGAATTCCTGAAGTCCTGTTTTTGACATAGTATTACGCTGATCGTGTTGCTCTGTTGACCCCAGGTATGAGCCTGTCGGTGATGCGTAACGTGAGGATCACCCAGCTGAACGAGTTCGGGAAGAAGGAGACTTGCTTCTCTAAGATGCCGGTGGCGCAGTGTCCCGAGGGATTCAAGGTCACCCGGAGTGAAACCCGCGACATGGAGTTCCACTGTCTGCCGTCTGATCTGAACAGCACCAAGAAATACATCCAGGTACATGCCCGTAGCCAGGATTTTGAATGGGGGGGGGGGTTCTTCCCACTGCTTGAAGCGCCGAAGGGGGGTCCGGGGGCATGCTTCCAAGGGGGGTCCCTTCATCCTTCCCGGAAAATTTTGAAAAATGAACCTTCTAAAATGGCATTTCGTGCATTTTTGACAGGATTTCCAAGAAAAAATCAGAGATAAATTTTTTAAGGGAGCAGTTTTTCTACGATTTCAGTCTATCTTTTCAAGAAAAATCTTGGACCTTTACATAAAAAGTGGACCAAAAACTGAACCTTTACATAAAAAGTGAACCAAAAACTGGACCTTTGAGCCTTGTGGGGGTTCTTCTGAACCCCCGAACCCCCCCCCCTGGCTACGGGCATGAGGCACCCTTACTTATTGCTAAACTTGATTATTTTGTATAATTGATTCACTTATTCATTGTATTGTTTCACTTACATTTCCCCTTACTTTGGTATTGTCATTCATATTTGATTTGACATAATTGTAACAATGTTAGATCATGATGGGGTAGATAAAAGTATCAGACAAGCCATTGTGGCTTTTTCTCCACCCGTGCACATTTACTTTACTTTTTCGTTATGTTTTTATAATTACGTATTATGCATATAGATAAAATCAAGATCAAATCAAACCTTTAACTTTATTATTTATATTCAAAAAAGAAGGAAAAAAACAGACATAGTGGTGGCACACTGAAGTAGACAAATGTTGACGTCAACACTTTAAAAACACACACAGAGAAATCAACGCTAAACACTGTGACTGACACGTACATAATTATATTATATATGAAAATGCATAGAGTTTGCAAATGGAGTTAAATATAATTTTCAAAACACTAAGTCTTATAGAAAACTTATGAGTACTCACCAAGTCACCTTTTGTAGTGACCACCTCACACGTCAACTTGAACTCTATGAGTCAAATTTGTACTTTTTCATACAATGTCTAGATTTACAAAACTAACGAGTTGGTCTTCTTTTTTCTGTATTTGTTAAAACTACAGTTGCACAAGACGAAACCCCTGGACATGATGGCAAATAAACGCACCGATCGCATCGAAGAGGTCGAAGCAGAACTCGAGTGCGAGATGGAGTGACTGCAGCCAAATGTGTCTTACTTCTACCCGGTTTACTACAAATGAAAAATCCACGAATCGCTTGAAAATGTAGATATTAAGCTCTGATTTAGCACCAATGTGTATATCTTAGAAAGGCTTACACAGTTTGAATGAGAAAAAAAGCTATTCTAATAATAACATATGATGGGCTATATTTATGAAGAGGAAAAGAGTCGTTAATATTTTAAATTTTCTTAAAAGTAATATGTGTAGTTTAGCTATATGATGATATAATGATATGATTATATGATGATTATTATATAATGATGGTACATTTTTGCTGGCCAAAACGGAGCTTCATATTAAAACATCATGCACACTCAACTGTCTTATTCAGTGATTATTTTAGATAATATATACATGTATGAATACAGATAGATATATAGATAGGATTATTAAACGATACTGATTGCTGAATAGATAGATCATTATGCATCGATGGATAAAATAAGTATTATACGGATAGCTATATAGAACTGCCTGAAAGACAATTTGGAGGTGCGCTACGATCCATGTAGCATGCGGTGCTGAGTGAGTGAGTGAGTGAGTGAGCGAGTGAGTGAATAAGTGAGTGAGTAGCTGAGTGAGTGAGTGAATACGTGAGTGAGTAGCTGAGTGAGTGAATGAGTGAAACTATATAGATAGGAATGAAAGATAAATACATAAATGGAGAGCGAAATGAATGAACGAAGATTGGTATCGAAATAGAAGGAGGCATGAATGGTTGGGTGTATGAATGGCTAGATGAATTGGGTGGACTCGGTATATGTTTTGCTATTGGGCTGGAGTTGATGCAAGTTTTTTTTTTTTTTTTTTGCTTTTATTGACTGAATATTGTATATGTGTTTCGGGCGTGAAAATTAAGACTTTTGGTGGCCCCCGGACACCCCTATGATGCTGAAAGTGGTCGAGCGCGTTGACCTTTGGTGTGTTACAGCAACGAGGGTGGAAACAGTCAACAATGTCACCACGTACACAGGAAAGTTCTCAGTCAGTTTGAGTGAGCGAACTCTTTGAAGAATTCTCTTTGAATCATGTTCCTGTTGGATTTTCTTGAATGCTCTCCCCCGAAAATCAGTCTGCCACTGCGGGAAAACAAAATTCCTTTGTACATGTAAGTCTTGCACACCATGTCTGAAGCTAAACCTGTAGACTAATCATGGTTTTATTTGTCATATTCATACACAACGTTATAAAGATCGCATACTTGTTACTGAGAGTGCAGTACAAAATGTACGAGCAAGCCGAGCCGGTTTGTANGACAGTCCATATTTCTGGATCAAAAGTCATGATCACTTTGATATTCCAGAATATGTGGGAGTGACATAAGTAGTCAAGTTTCAGTTCAGTTTCAAGAAGATCAGTTGATGTTTTTGAATTTATGCCAGCACCAGAAGTTCACACATTGTAAACAATGTGGCTGACAAAAATAAAGGCAACTTTGACAAGGTGTATTTCTGGATCAAATGAATGGATCTCCTCAATATTCTGGAAGAGGTTGGAGGGATATCTCTAGTTATGTTTTATTTTACTTTAAACAAGATTGCTTCATTTTGTTGAATTTATGCTTTTGTTGAATTTATACTGTAACGTTACATGTGCCTGCCCCCCCCCCTTCCCCCATATCGTCGCCTACTTCAAATCCGGTCTAAAACCGTGTATATCGTCGCGGGTCGGGAAGAATCGATGCCCAGACTGCTATAGGATGTCCTCAAAATGTTTCTTTGGAATTATTCGCTTTGTTCATGCAAATAAACAACGGGCACTTACCGGGGAAGATCGAAGACGAGGTGGTTCTGTTGTTGGGGGCAGATGTTGTAAGGGAAATATTAACATAATCTATGCAGGATTTCTATTAATTAATTTTATCACTAACGGGCCCGTTATTGATTAATAAACGCGCCGGACATTGTAAGCATAAAAACTAAAACAAAATTTGAGACTGAAGTAAACAAAAACGGCAGCGAATGTGACCCTTGACCTATAATAGGGGACCGTCCATTCTTCAACAGGGCAGGGGTGACACGTATTCTTCCGTGCAGCGAGCTTTCGTTGCGCGCAGCGAGGTCGCCGAGGAATCTCTTTCTGTGCAGGCGTGAGGAAGCTCTTGGCAGGCACGACGCAGGTATTCGTGCGCAGACGAGGAAGCTCTTTCTGTGCAGGCGTGAGGAAGCTCTTGGCAGGCACGACGCAGGTAGTCGTGCGCAGACGAGGAAGCTCTTTGCAGACATGACGCAGGTATACGCGCAGGCGACGCAGGTGTGCGCGCAGGCGACGCAGGTGTGCGCGCAGGCGACGCAGGTGTGCGCGCAGGCGACGCAGGTTTGTCCTTGTCGGCCACGGTAGGTTTGTATCAGTCTCGCAGGGTCCGGCAACGGACAAACGGGCGGGCTGCCGTCCGAATCAAGTACTGATCATCAGGACGGTTCAAGAAAAGGTGCTGGCCATGGCAACGACGACGTTTCGCGCAAGAATGGAGAAGTGGCAGCAGAAGCGTCTTCAGCCACGTACGAAGAAGCCGAGGCGGTGAAACTACAGGTGCCCCGGCTGAGGCAAGCTAAGCGGGAGGCGAAACCGCCTGTAGACGGGGTTGGCGCGGGAGACATCGGGTTTTACGCCAACTTACGTTACACACCGTATCCGTCCTCAGGTAGGTTACTTTGCCGTATCTTGCGTTCTTCTTCCTGAAGATTTTTAAAAAGATTTTTCTGTTATCTTAGAGGGTACGTTATTACTAACGCAAGCATTGCCACCCCCTTTAATCAAATTCCTCAATTCAGAGATTCGAAAATTGAAGTTATTCTAGTTCTCTGTTATTTGGTCGCACTCAATGGACACCCCATTTCAGCACCAAGGACATGGCCCGCCCTCTCGCCGTACGGTCGGCGTGCGGGTCGAAGCGCCGGCCCGCCGGGGGCTGCCGGCGCGTGCCTGCGTACCCGGCTCCGCCTCCGCGGGGCCTCTCCGATGTCCTACGGGGAAAGAAACACCCTTGAAGATCTGCTGAATAAATAAACAAGCAAACAAACAAAGAAACAAACAAACGCTACTTTTTTTGTAGTGAGACCGGGCATATGCGCATCCAACTCAAAATCTTATATTGAGTGCCTTAAACGCATACTTTTCAGCAAATTTTGACTGCTGAAAATCTGAAACTTGATACTCTTTTAATAGCAGACAGAGCGTACCATAACGAAGCCAGCGAGCGCCTCCGTGCGATCCGAACCTTCATCCGCACCCACTGGCGCTTCTGCATGTCCGCCGCTTTTGTTGTGGTGTCAATGCTGGCTATTGTGGGACTGGCCCAGACGATGTCCAATCACAAAGCGGTAAATACTAGTGTTTTATTTCAAATCATGCCGGTATACGTATCTTTGCTGTTTTTAAAAGGGGTCGGTCGGACTTTTAAGTGTTTTTTATGTTCTTTTATATATTCCTTTTCAATAACTACAGAGAGTCAAGCGTAATTCACAGACAGAAATACTTTAATCTTTACATAAAGAGTTTCGGTACAATATTTCACTACGGTATTATAAGCTGCATTTTTTTTTTGCTTCAAAGATTCAAAGCTTCAATCAATATGTTTTACAAATTTAACCAATATAGTTACAGAGAAAAACTGACAATCTTAGAATCAGGCGGGACTTATTGCAACGTAAGATAAACCATGAACAAACGAATTTATTTATTTGTTGTTACAATGTTCCAGTGCTAGAATACTAGAAAATTATTTCGAGTTAAAACTTTGTTCCAACACAAATAATTGTCCTCATCTATACCTTTCGACCAGCCGCTCTGGTATTTTTCACTTAAGTTGACCCACTTCAGAAAAGCCACGTGACAAATCTCACTGGGTCAGTCTGAGAGAGTGACTAGTCAAAAGCTCTGGGTGGGAGAATTCTTTGTGTTGAAACAAAAGTTTTAACTTTAAACACCGTAACTACCAACACAGATGACAGTAGAAAGAAATTGGTGGAATGTTCAAGTCGCCCAAAAACTGACTCAAAATGTAATTTGACATTTATACTTATACATTTCTGCATGCTGTCGTCTTCAGGAAATGACTACTGCTGTTGACGCCCTGAAACGTGAGTTTAACGGCCAGTGGAACCGAAGTACCCACCTCGAGCAGCGTGTTCATAAGATAAGCAAGGCGGCAGGTGAGCTTTGAACTTCATCATCAACTTTTTTTACATTCATTTGACCAAACTTGTGAATAATAACCTGTTGTTAAATACTGCGTAACTGCCTTGGATATATTGGCAATACAGAAATAGACTTGAGAAGATTTATTTATTTTATTGATGACTTCTATTCTAGGGCCACCTGGACCGCCGGGACCCATGGGGCCTGCTGGTCCGAAGGGAACGGATGGCCGAGCGGGAGTCCCAGGACGTCCCGGGCCTATTGGGCCGCCCGGACCGCGTGGTTTTAAAGGGCCGCGCGGTTCTAAAGGGCCGCGCGGACCACGAGGTTCCCTAGGGGTCCAGGGCTGACCAAAAGGTTCCACAACCTCTTGGAGCACCAACAACAGACAATAAGCGGTGAACATGGTGAATTATTAACATCAACACGACCTGAAGTTCCTCACCCGCTCTACGGCTTGATTTGAATTTTACTGGTACCATGTGATTGGTTAATCTCCAAGCAGGTCTTTTGATAGCTGCAAAATGTTAGCCTCTACCAGACTTCGGGAAGCGCCACATCTTCTAACATATCATATGTCTATTTGGCCAATTTCTCTACTCTTTAAAGCCGTTTCCCGAAGCCTGGAAACCTCTTTATTTGTAGCTGGGGGAAAATCCTCTTGAGATTACTAAATCCACCTCTATGTTGAAGATTGTTTCTATAAATTGACTTACAGAGGTAGATGTTTATGCTTCGACGGCTATCAGAAACTGTTTGCAGCTCAGCGTTATATGATTAAGCTCTAGTAATTAATTTTCAGCTCTATGTAATGGTTATGTTCTATGAAATGGTTCAAGTAATGGAGGATATGAAGACATTGAGAGTCTTAAAGAGGTTCTGTCCAAGTTTACAAGTTAAATGTGAGTATGGGTAAATGTATGTAAGATATGCTCCTACTTGTAAGAAATGAATGAATTCTAATAAGCAAAAAGTAACTGATACAAGTATCTACAGATGCACTGGCAATTCGTTACGGGAAGTGTTTGTGAAAGGCTCCAGAAACTAATAAAGATGGTCGTGTATAAGTTCGTCACATCATCGACTTATTGTTGTTTTTGTTTTGTTGTAGTTGTTGTCTAGAACTTTTAAGGACAGATAGTATTATGCTCGCGTAAATGCCTTCTTATCCATTTTAT